AAGAAGTGGAGCGCTCGGGCAACGTGGCGGGCGGTGAGAGGATTGTCCCCTCTGATCATCACTACCTGGTGGGAAAGAGGGGACAGAAAAATAAGTCCCAGGTGGAGAAGCAGCACCTCAGAACCTGTCTTCTGTGGGCTGGAAGGGTTCCTGTCCACCTTGGATCCTGTTGACATCCCCCAGGAGACAGAATCATGGAATCTGTTTTGTTGGAGAAGACCTTGAGGATCATCCAGTCCAACCATGACCCCTAGTCCTGCCAAGGCCACCACTGCCCCATGTCCCTCAGCACCATCTGCAGGGCTTGGAAGCCCCTCCAGGGATGGGGACTCCCCCCCTGTCCTGGGCAGCCTGGGCCAGGCCCTGACAACCCTTGCCAGGCAGGAATTGTTCCCCAGATCCCACCTCAACCTCCCCTTGGCAACTTGAGGCCAGTTCCTCTAAAAAAAGACCTTTTAAGCAGCAGGGTTCTCTTCCAGGAATGTAATGGCTTTTGTTACAGACCTGGGAGCTGGAATTATCTGGTATATTAATAAAGACACAGAGCAGAAAACAGCTCCTGCTCCAAAACTATTCCAGCCCCTTCTCCTTGTCCTCCAGCCCCTTCCCCTTGTCCTCCAGCCCCTTCTCCACATTCTTACATGGTGTGATGCATTCTGGATCTCCCTGATGACAGATTTGGAGTCAGCTTTGAGGGGACAGGAAACCACTATGAACCCCACAAACCTCAGGTCACACTCCAGATCTTCCCTCTTTATGTCTCTGACCTGCCAGAAGAAACCAGCAAACCAAGTGTCACCATGAACAATCTTCTCTTCCATTTGCTCCTTCTCAACTTCCACCTTCCCAGAAGATCCAGCTCATGAAACCACCAGGGGAACTGGACGGGAGGGCTGAGGAAGCACAACTTCCACCTTCCCAGAAGATCCAGCTCATGAAACCACCAGAGGAACTGGATGGGAGGGCTGAGGAAGCACAACTTCCACCTTCCCAGAAGATCCAGCTCATGAAACCACCAGAGGAACTGGACGGGAGGGCTGAGGAAGCACAACTTCCACCTTCCCAGAAGATCCAGCTCATGAAACCATCAGAGGAGCTGGATGAGAGGGCTCAGCCAGACCTACCTGCTGGTGGGTGAGGTGGCCCAGTTCTTTGTAGCCAAGGGCCAACACTCTTGCCCCCTCGTGGGAAATCTCTGTGTGGACAGCCTGGTAGTTGCTGGGACACTGGGACAACTGGAGAAGATTTGGAGATAAAACCATCAGATTCAGGGCATTTCAGACACATTCCAAGCATTCCATACTCAGTCCAAAGCGAGGGTGGGAAGAGACACCTTCAGGAGGGTCACCAACCATTGAGGGATCCTCCCCCCAGTGGGATCTAGATGGTCTTTAAGGTCCCTTCCCACCCAAACCATTCCATGATTTGATGAGGATCCATTCTTCAGTCCTCAGAAAAGCAATAGGGCCTGGAAAGGTTGGTGGGACATTTCCAAACCTCCCTGGGGTCAGACTGAAAGTCCCCAGAGGACTTGGGTTTGGGCCCTGTGTCCTTTTCCAGGAGAATTCCCTATGTCCGTCATGCTCCAAGGCTTGCTGGGGACAAAGAGGTGGAAAGGGACAAGCCCTGGTGCTGGAGAAAGGTTCTTCCTTCTCCTTGTCTGGAGAGGAGGAGCCTGAGGGGGGGTCTCCTCAAGGCTGCTCCAGATCTCCAGGAGGGGCAGGAGTGGGGGACCAGGCTCTTCTCAGCAGTGCCCAGGGCTAGGACAAAGGGCTATGGGCACCAGGGAACTCAGGGGTCCTGGGGGACAACA